CATCTACTCTAACTATGGAGTCATGGCTTTTTTCCTTTTAAAAAATAATTATTTGCTAGTTCTGTCCACCAAAAATACCCAAAAGTAATGGCAACTCAGTAGCCTTAGCAGCTCACCCAGATTGTAGTTTCTATGAATTATTCAAAACAAAAGAAACCCATACCCCTAAAGGAAGGCCTGACCCCAGATCCACAGCAGGAAATATACAACATGACCCTGGGAGTCTTACTGAGCCAGAAAGCAATGAAGCTATCACAAACCAACAAGATTTAAAAGGATTCAGGAGCAACATCAAAGGGCTCCCTTTGGTCAAAGACAGGGCAACTTATTCATTAAAAAAATGGGGGTAACTAAAAAGATTTATATATACAGGATGGGTAAGAATCCACAAGTTCATGATGATTGAGAGACCGCTTATTCCAAACAGACACCACCACCACTGAAGAGGCAAAAAGACGGAACAGTGGCAAGGTTGGGGCTGAAGTAAGGAGGCATTTGTCCTAGAGAAAGCCAGAGACTGACACAAAGGTGTTCTGGTGGGTGACAATAGTAGTCACAGCAGCAACAACAGAAATAGCAATAAGCAATAACAATAGCTATAAGCACTGTGTCCTGCTGCCAGGATTCAAGCCTCGCTGCACTCACTTCCTCATGGGATAAGCCTCTCAACACTTACATCCTCTCCCTGTGCCTAACCTGCTCCATCTGTAAATGAACTTACCATGCAAATTCTAGGGTAAGTTCAGGAGTGGATAAGGCGACACTGGTGAAGTCTGCACTCACCACACATCCAGAAGTGGCCATGGTTAAAGTTTACTGGGCCCTGGGGTCTGGGCTCTGGGCTATGTGCTTTACATGCATTTCTCATTTAATTCTCCAAATAACTATACAAGGGAGACATTTGCCATCTCCATTCTATGGGTGAGGACTGAAACTCAGAAAGGTGACATATTTACCAGTGGTCCCATAGCTCATTACTGAAGTTTTAGAATAAGACTGACCACCTGAATTTGACCCTTTGACCTGGGTGCCTGTGTTGGGCATCTCCATGATGCCCCCTCCACACACAGTGATTCCCACTTCCCAGTGTTCTGCCCTTGGGTATCCCTTCCCTCACTGGATAGGGATGCTCTGTGAAACCAACAGGGTGCTATGGGAATGACAGGGTGGCTTCTGCCTTGCTGTCTTAGATCTCATACTCTAGGGAAAGTCAGTTGGTATGCCAGAAGGACACTCAAGAGGCTCTATGGAAGACCTACATGGCAAAGAACTGAGGCCTCCTTCCAACAGCCAGGACTAGATTGCCAGGCATTGTGTGGTCACCACCACAGAAGCAGATCACCAGCCCCAGCTGAGCCCTTGGCTGACTACAGTCCCAGGAGACACCTTGACTACAACTCCTGGGGGCCCTGAGCCAGGACTACCCAGCCAGGCCACTCCTGGGTTCTTCACACACAGAACTGAGACATGATAAATATGTATTGTTTTAAGGTGCTCAGCTTGGGGGTGATTTGTTACACAGCGATGGGGGGTTCATATGATAAGCACGGAGCAGGTTCTAGTACATCCTTCCATTCTGTCATGTAAAAGATGAAGACTGCAATAGCATGGGCATCGTAAAGTGGTTGTGAGGATCAAAAGCAACCCTGCATCCAAGGTGCCTGGTCTAGAGCCTGCACACAGCCCAGGCCTCCCAAGAACAGACTCCACATCAGCACCCACCCATTTCCAAACCTGTGCTCAGGCAATGAGCCATGGGGTATTCAGATATGGAGGACAGGCCGATCAACCTGAGACAGAAAGGGATGGTGAGTGGGCAAGGACTCTGCCCAGCACTCCACCACAGGGAGACACTTTCCTGGAAGCACCAAGATTCAAGGCCTCCCAGGGCTGGGGGATTTCTTGTCACACTCAAGGTTCTCCCACCTCCCCCTTCACTGCAGGTCTCCTTGACACAGCTCTGTGCATGCTAACCCACAACACAAACCACCTTTGCTCCAGGTCCATCCCCAGTGCCTTCCCCAAAAATCCAGGTGTCACTGTAGCTCTGCACAGCCTGCTCAAAGCCTTGCACATCTCCAGAAGCAGTAATCTAAGTAAGCTAAGCACCCCCAGCTCCTCATGACAACAACTCCCCAAGGGGGAGGATGGAGGAAGCAGAGGCCTGAAGTTGGCCAGCAAAATGACCCACTAGGAGGAGGGGCTGAAGCCTTCCAGGGAACCCCAAACATCCACATCACCACCTCTAAACATAGCCAGCATTAATACCCCCATTTAGGAAGGATCTTATAGACCTGGGAAGGGCTCATAAACTATATTTCCTGGACAAAGGAGTCCTGGTATGATGGCTGAATTCAAATCAAGAGGTGGGAGTCACAGCCCTGTACTAGTAGGTTCTGGGCTCAGACAAGATTAGGTCAAGTCCTGGCAATACAGTCCATGGCCCATATTACTCTTATAATCTATGTGGGGCTGATCTGAGAGAAGTCTTAGCCAACAAATAGGCAGGATAAATCTTTAAGAAGTCAGGATTTCACAAAGCAAATAGCTATCAATCTTAAAATCACCTACATGCCTGATTCTCATTTTTGTGCATCACTGGTGAGTTGTTCAAAAACAGATACCCAGCCCCAAATCTAAATCTATAAAGTCAGATTTATTTATTTATTTATTTATGATGAAGGCATCTGAGAG